CCCTGAGAGCAGCGGGGGCTCTGGGGGTGCCGCGCTCGGAGCTGCCTCTTCGCAGGTCAAACCCCCGGCGCTTCGGGGCGAAGCCGTGTGTTCCTGTCGCGTCCTGGAGCCGGGACACCGCCGGGCTGGGTGCGGTGTGGGGGGGTTTGCTGGTGGCTTTTAATAGACGCGCTGGGGCTTCGCTGATAGAAAGGCCAGAACGACTCTGGATTTCGGGGTGGGGGTGTTTTGGGTTTTTATGTGTTTGTTGTTTGTTTTTTTTTTTTAAAACAGTACAGAATGACTGTTTTCGTTCTGCTCACAAATTTGTGACAGTAAAAAAGCCTCTTAGTGAGAGTAACATAAATAGAAAGCAATTGCAAAAGCTGCTGTGATAAAGATACTACGTTCTCATTTGTGCTCCAGGAATATATGTGAAGGTCTTGTGCCAAAGAAACCAAACGTGCAAGTGCTTATGAAAGTGAGGTCTGTAATGTGAACTCCGGATAGTTTTGCCCATTCTTAAGACAGCACTGTTACGGGGAGAGACTTTCCACTGCTCTTTAATGCTTCCAAACCCCTGTGTTTGATTGGTGACTGTCAAAGCTACTGGATTGTGAATTTCGGGCTTTAGCTTGGTAAGCGTTGCTAAAGCTGCAGCAGTGGTATATCTGTGTAGACTGAGAGTGTCACTGTATCCCAGTTCTAACCCAGTCATCAAACGAGGCTGTTCTATTAAGCAAGGCTTAAACATTGCTAAAATTACTGTCTGAATTCCAGATTTGCAAAGGAAGAGGTTAGCTGTTTGCTAAGTGGAAGTCTGAAGCTCTTGACTACTTGTCCTAGACTGCATACGTAGCGGGTTTTCGGATGGAGCTGGCTTTCGCTATCAGTTTTTATTTCTAAGTGTAATCTCATTAAGCTGCCTATTTATTTGACTATACTATGCTTATCTTTGGCCACAGGTGGCAATGAACATCTCTGGTGTTTTTGCTGTTTAATAGTGATACTAGTGTGTTCAGTTATGTGGTGTCTGATCTGATACTTTTAGACTATCTGAGTTATTGACACTGCTGTTCTACCTCACTGCGAGAGCATGTAGTTTGATGACCTGACTATACCTTTCTTGGTTTCTGAAGTACTGGAGGTTTTCCTTTTATGGAAAGAAATAATTAAAACTATATTTCCTTCAAGATTGTCAGGCATTACCACAGCGTCACTGTTTAGCTTCACTTAACACAGAGGTTACTCTCACTGTAGTAGTGGGACTCTGCTGTGTTCAGTTGGTAGAGCAGCAGTCAGGATAGCTTTTATCCTGAAAATAGACCAGTGATCACTGGAAGTTCCAAAATGCCAACAGTGCTAGGTGTACGTCTGCTATTAAGGAATATCTTCAAACAGGAAGGAAGATACTATGAATTAAAACCAGTGCATATGCGAGGTTTTTAAAGTGTATCTAAAATTAGAAATGCTTAAAATAAGACACCTTTAACAACCGAAAATTAACTTAGGAACATCTGCAGGGAAGTATTCCTAAAAGCTCTGTGGTGGCATTAAATTCTTGTTTAGTTTCAGCTTGGAATCTCTCATCCCACCAGAACAAAGATCTTCTGTGTGATTAGTGTGTTCGTTACAGTTAGTAAAGCACTATGTGTACTTGAGAGCTTAGTGATTGAGTAAGCTTATGCACACTTAACTTCTGAGACTTCTAGAAAAGCTGATTCGAAGAACCATTTCAGTTGATTTACCAAAACAAGGGATGCCACCTTTCCTTTCCTGGTTTCCCTGGCTGTAGCATAAAAATAAGGGCACTTGCTGTTTGTAAAGGCGAACAGCAGAGCTGTGAAAACTTGTATTTCAGGTCCTAAGACAATTGTATGAAGTTAGTATTAAGCAATCAACTCTTTCTTGGCTTCATGAGTAATTCTGTTCATTACACCAGGCTGTTGTGAAGGTCAGTAATGACATGGTTAAATACGTGCACCTTCAAGTTTAGTCTAACCCCAGTAGTTATCATTACACCTTTCCTATGGATCAGTGCAACATGTTTTTTTTCTTTAACTTCAATGACTGCAAGAGAATAAAGAGGGAATACAAATGGGATAGCTTTGCAGACAAAGAAAGGAAATTTTGCTAGCACAAAGCCCTGTGCTGTGGGAAACTGAAAAACTTCAGCTATTGCATCTTCTAGTCAGATGTTCCCTTCAGCAGCAGATTGCTCCGAGCCCTGTAGCTGTCCTGGTAGTACAGCTCTTAGTTTTATGTGAGTTGTTGGCATGAAATAGTTCTTGGATTCAGGCAGATTAAAATCTTGTCTTGGCAATTGAGCTTTTTAACAGCTGGGCCATCAAGATTTCTACTGCTGTCACTTGCTAAATATTGTTTGAATTAGTTTTTATTCATAAAAGGTGAGCAATTAAACTATTACATTTTGCCTAACAGAACTAGTTCTTTACATTTTATCTCTCAGCCTTTAGCCTTTTACAGGTTGATTAATCTTTTTAAAAAATCCAAACAAAACCAACAACCAACCAGGCAAAAACCACCACCAACCAACCACCTCTTAATTTCTAGCTCTGAATTAACTGAATAGTTAACTGTAAGACCGGCAAACGATAGCTGAAGAGGTGGATGTGATGATTTGGATCCTTTAATGCAAAAGATCAGTGGTCTAAGATTATTTTTTATTTTATTACTTAACTACTTTAAGTATTTTTACCTCTAAATGTCAATAATGCTTATGCCTCTTCAGTTGCACTCTGTTTTGCTTCTGTATTGTGTATCCAAAATCAGGGAAGTGTTCTGTAATTAAAGTCTTAATGTTTAAATGTTATGCATACTTGTTTATCTTTCTCCCCTGCATGGCACTGCCTTAAATGTCAGAAGTTACTAATGTACTTAATCATAGATGTTCTGAAATATGGACTCCTTTTAAAGGTGTTCTAGTAAATCTAGAGTTAAAAATTTTAAAATAAGGTATTTCCAAAACATTAAGCTTGAGTTTTAGAAGCTTTCCTTAATTCAGGGCTTTCTTTGCATAATAACCAGATGTACTATGGTTTTTGTGGCATAGTTAAGTCTGGTGAGTCAAAAGTCAGGGTATTGCTGTGGTCAGTCTTCCTGGGAATAGACAGCTTTAGCCAGCAAGAGGGGTTAATTCTTTTGGGGTAAATATGCTGCAACTGCAGAACTCTAATCCTCTCTTTATTGTTGCTGCCAGAAACTCCAGATGAAAATGGCAAAACCCAGCGAGCTGACAGTCTTATCATGAAGAAGATAAAGAAAAAAAAGAAAAAGAAACACCGGGAAGATATGAGGGGAAAACGCCTGAAGATGTACAACAAGGAAGTGCAGACAGTGTGTGCTGGACTCACTCGCATCGACAAAGAGACTCTGTCTCAAGGACAGTGTGGTAACATGGAAATGAACCAGGAATCCTTCAGGTACCTGAAGGATGAGCAGCTCTGCAGACTGAATTTGGGTATGCAGGAATATCGAGTACCCCAGGGAGTGCAGACGCCGTTTGTGACGCACCAGGAGCATTCTGTTCGCAGCAGCTTCTTGAAAACTGGCACTAAATTTAGTAACTTCATTCATGAAGAACATCAGTCCAATGGTGGTGCTCTGGTCCTTCATGCTTACATGGATGAACTCTCATTTTTGTCTCCAGTGGAGATGGAGAGATTTGCCGAGGAGTTTCTCGCGTTGTCATTCAGTGAAAATGATAAAAATGCAGCTTACTATGCTTTAGCCATCGTACATGGAGCAGCTGCTTATTTACCAGACTTCCTGGATTACTTTGCTTTTAACTTTCCTAACACTCCAGTGAAAATGGAAATCTTGGGCAAGAAGGACATTGAGACAACAACGATTTCAAATTTTCACTCTCAGGTAAGAACTGTTTAAAGGCATAGAAGTTGCACAACACCTAGATTTGCTTAATCCCATTAATCCAGAGCAGGGGTGGCCTAAAATAGGGGGGGACACCATTTTTTTTCCAAGCGGATAAAAAAAGATGATGCTGGGACTACTACTGTGCTATTTATTTCTGTTCCTGCCTAAAGCTCTCTTGTGCCCACTGATAGCTGGTGGATCACACTTCAGATGCTGGTAACTGTGACCCGTCGAAAGATCTGCGCTGATCTTCTGGCAGATGTTCAGTTATCCCTTGAACTTGGGAGAACACTGACGTTGTTTGACATGGTGGACAAGTCTGTATGAAGATTGTGTAGATTGCAAATACTAACGCTGCTTTTTCTGTTCAGTACATCTGGGGTTTTTTTGCAATGACATTACTTCCCAAGTTTCAGTATATCATTCACAACAAGTGAGGCTTTTTTCGCCTCTTAATTCTATCAGTAGCTGGTTCTGGGTGTTTAAACTTTGCAACTTCAGAGAGGTGGTTAGCATATCTTTTTAATTGCCTTTGAAAAAGGCTTTCATTTTATGTACTACCTTGATTTTCATAGTGGACTTAAACTGTCTTAAATTATCGAACTGTATCTCCACGTAACTCAAATGGATGCAACAGTAATAACTCGGCTAGTTTCAAGATTGCTGCGTGAAAACCCCTTGCATGTGGCTCTCGTGGTGGAGCTCAGAAGTATCTATGAACATACAGCAATGAGACAGTTTAGATAAATTTTGTTTCGGATGGAATAAAACCTCTTCCTGCTTGCTCTAGTCTGGGAACAGGTTCAAACTACTGGTTACTTTTAGAGTCTTTATTCAAGACCTTGATTACTTTTACTGGTTCACCTGTTGGAAGGAAAAACTTGAAACTCTGTAGTGGAGTGCACTTCAGTGCTGTTGGAACAGACCTTTAGCAACAGGCTCTGAAGTGGTCATGCTTGTGGATGGGCTATCTGGATCTCTCCAGAGCTTTCTGAATGCTTATAAGCAAGATTTACACTGAAAAAAAACAGTTACTCCTTTACAGAAAGCTGTCGTGTGGTCACTTGCAGAATATTTGGATACTTTCCAGCATTTATCACAGATACCATTAAATTAGTAGTTCGGACACTTAGCTGTTGATTCTGTTTGACAATGAGTAGCTGCTGCAGCACTTACTTTAAAACATCTTCTGTTTCTTGGTTTAAGTAATTCTTTGTGCTGGCAGAGCTGCATGAGAGCACACAGGACTCCAAAAAGTCTAACTGATGGGCACGCAGACTGCTGCTATCAGCAGGGATGCTTTTGCACAATACACACGTGTGCTCTGCAGATGTGAAACTTGTCCGCAGGTTGCTCTTCTGTATTAGGGATTTATCCGTGTTCTCTGGCATCGTGATTATGTTCTAGTTTACTTTGTGTGAATGTGATGGCCCCTAAAATGGCTAAACAGTGCCAATTAGATAATTAACAATTACACTTTTTCTTGGTGAATGTCTCGTGAGCATGTATAGCTTATCCTGTAAGTACTAGAAATGTGAGGAATGTATGGTAATAAATAAGAGGCTTCACTGTGTTATAGTCCGTGCTGGTATTGCAATTAATCCTGTTTTAAGTACTGTCTGAACTTAATTGAGTCAGGACATAAGTTTCAGTGGGTCTGAAACACCTCTCTACACCCAGCCTCAGCACGGCCTGGTTAATCCTCTCTGGCTGAGTTTGTTAGTGCCATTCACACGCTGAGCTGACACAAAGTAGAGTTGGGCCAACCCTCGGAAAGCTGAACCAGGGCTCTTCAGAGAATATAGATTGGGGTAAAGCGTCTGGTTTAAGGGTGCATTGAAATCGGTGGTGGATTCCACTGTGGTAGCTGCATGCTGTTCAACCTCAAGTTTTGCAAGCTGGTGTATCTTTGAATAGAGAGGGGTAAAATGCCCTGCCTGAGGGTGTGCAGGGGGTGAGTCTGGCTGTTCCTGCTCTTCCTCGGCAGCACTGCTGGAGAATGAACTAACTGGCTAAGCCTTGCTTTTGGACTGTCCTGTATGAGAAACTGTACAGTACAACACAAAAGCACTTTATAGTTACAGTAGCATTGTATGCTGAAACCCTGACTTTGTTTGTTGTTGAAGATACCGAGTTCGGTCACCTCCCTCCTAGGCCAAACCTTCTGTGTGCTGGGCTGTGCCGAGGGGCTTGGAGTGTTAGGGAGTCTCGAGGCCTGGAGACTTGGTGTCAAGAAATCAAACTTTAATCTGTAAACTGCAAGTTAATTGAAAGTTAATGTGACCTTTGGCTTTTTGGCCGTTCAGCTGTGTCGTGTACCTCTTCAGACAAACTGAATTTTAGTAGGGTTGGCTGTTCAGCTGTGTCGCGTACCTCTTCAGACAAACTGAATTTTAGTAGGAAGCGTCTCCAGTTCAAAATAAGGACTTTAATCTGGAAGACTTCATAAAAAAATCTAGTGATGATTAACTCCCTTGCAAGGTGAATGCCTTTGTTCTCAGGGCAGTGAAGACAATGTGAACTGGGTGTTTGTAACAAAGCACCCCAGTATGTATTTGTAGTATAACTGTTTGGTTTCCGTGTAAAGTACTTCAGCTTCAATGTTCTCTGGACTTTTTTGCTTGCATTGACTCTGGCTCGTTTGTTGTAACACTTTAGTGTGGAAGCTGAGCTTTAGTTTGGAGCTATTCCCTTGGGCTAAGAGCTTTCAAGACTCCAGTCACTGAACAGTAATTTGAAAGATTTCCTCGTAAGAGTGTACTTCAGTTTGGAAGTTCCCCAGCAGTGCAGCTAGAATGAACTCTTACTTTCCCTGTCAGCTGTTTCACTACAACTGCTTCTGGGCCTGCTCAGTGGACTGGAATATATTTAGACTTGAAAAACCACTTCTGTTTTGTTGTTTGTTTGGTTGTTTTTTTAAGAAGTAACTGATCAGGCGCCTGGTCAGTTGTCTGTATGGTCCACAGAACAGTTAAGCTGCCACAAAGGAGTGGAGTTCTGGGAACAGGCAGGAAAGAGTACGGGGAAGTAGGTTTTGCATAAGCTGCTCTTCCTTCTGGGAGGGAGGTGGGGCGAGTTTTCCTGCTGTCTAGGTTACCCTGTTCCTGACAGTCTCCGTTAATGAACCATGTCACAGTTTGGTTGTCTACCCCATCTTAACTTTTCCTTCTCCTGATAAAAGGTATTCTGAAAGGGCAATTTCTTTTTTTTTTTGAACAGAAGCTATCAAAGTATGGAATGGAGAAATTGTGCATCTGTACCACAGACTTAATTTGATTTATCACTTCAGCCATATAGACAATGCCTGATGGTCTTCCTGAAGTATCTGACAGGTTTTAGTCAAACACAAACCCTTACTGTAATGGCATGTCACACTGCCCCCTTTCCTTCTTGTTGTACATGGTCATAACCCTTCTTGTGTTCCGGCTTTCTTCCTTGTAGCAAAGTGTTTGCATGGTTGGTTTTACAGCTGGCTTGACACTGAAATAGTGTTGCTGTCAACTGATTGATGCTTTTCTTGGAACTAGAGAGAAACTTCTGACACCTAACCTCATTCATCTCAAGCTGCTCTACAATGTCTCCGGCACACTTAAGAGCTGATTTTAATCCTACCTGTAACTCCACTTGCAGTGTGATACTGGATATCTAGTAGGTCTGCTAGGTGACAGACAGGGAAGTAAGTGATTGCTGTTTGGTGTTTTGAAAGGGTACAGGACACCTGAGTGCCCTTTCAGTACCCTGATGGTCCTTCTACAACAGTGAAGATGGATCACATAGTGCACTATAGATAGTGGCAGTTAATAGTCCACTAAGGTTTTTAAAGAAGCACAGAGACCAAATTATAGCAATGAAGGTGCTGTGGCAAGAAGTTGTTAACTTCTGACAGCCATGTAAACTGGAATCATCCAGGCTAAGTTCCTAAACAAGAATTCAACCTTAAACAAAAATAAGAAACTCTGAGAAGGGTCCTAGTGGATATAACTTCAGGTATTTTGTAATCTCATCTTTCTTGCCTGAAAAGAGGGCTGTGTGAAGATGGCTGCAAAGGTGAGGAGATGAAATTAATATAGCTGTTAAGAGTGCATCTGGAGCACTTGGCAAATGAAAGGTCAAAGTCGTTTGCAAGAAGGTGCAGCAAGCAGGTTACTTGGTCTTCCTTTCCAGCTGGGTGGCTTGGTGTCCCGAGAGTACGATGCCTATTTAGATTGTCATGAACATGCAGTTATGACATGCAAGGTCTTGGTATGCTCCATATTCTTGAGGCCACTGACCGAAGCAGTGCTGTTGCCATTTTGGTGCTCTGAAGGAATTAAGGATGAGACAAACTGTATATGAAGGAATATTTTATAGCATATTAAACTGATAGACTACTTCCCCTGTGATTGAGGTGCTTGAGATGAATGCGGCAGCCTGCTGGGGAATGCCATGAGGTAGTACATGTTTTCAGGCTAAACACTTCCTGGTTTTAATTCTCAAGTGTGTATTTCTTTAAATTCTATAAAAACTAGCAATATATTGAAATCCAGTACTTCCTTAAAGTATTTCTAGTGTATCTTTTGTAGCTCTTGAATTCTTTCCATTTTTTTATTGCATTCCAGTGCGTTAAGAAAAATTAAATGTTAAAGCTTCTAGTTTTTGTACCCTTTGAAAATACTGCAAGGAAAAACTGCATATGGTATTATAATTCATTTTAACTTGTGACAAACAAGTGTGAAATACTAGTGAATCTCAACTGGTGGTTTCAGTAGAACAATCTCACCTGGAGTGGTCTGTCTCCACTGGCTTTAATGGTGCCGGGTGGTTCCACTTAACTGGCTTGCAGCCCAGAACAGTTCAGTCCTTCGCTCTCCAGTAGGTGTGCAGAACCAGGCTGATGCTACGGGCTTCCAGTACTGCTACGCTTAATGGCATTCTAGGTTACTGGTGGAACCGTTCCGTTTTACTGATGTTAGATATGAACCTTTGCTGATAATGTTCTAATAGGATTTGGGGACTTCACTTCCTCTTAGGGCAACAGCCAAAAAGAATTAACAGCCTCTGAAGAGAGTGCCTGGTTCATAAAATCTGTACGGTCAAACCCGGAAAGCTGAGATGTGCTCTTGCAGCTGCTGGTGGTGGTCTGGAGGGACACGGAGGTGGAGTGCTGGAGCTACACAGTGGAGTTCTTGGAGTTCTTAAGATGCAGCCTTCTGTGCGTGCAGGGAGAGGGGATGAGGCGCAGCCGTTGGCCTAGGGCTGAGGAGTAAAGCCATACGTGAAGTCATCTTTGGCTCCTGCTTAGCTTGTGGTTGGAGCGTAAGTGTGCAGTCAGTGCTGACCTGCCAGCTGCACGTGTACAAAGCTAAAGAAAAGAGGATTCTGGAAACAGGAGTGAACTAAACTCCTGCAATTAAGCAGCTAAATATCTGTGGTTGCTGCTAGAGGATAAAACTGCCGCAGTAACTGTAACTCTTGCTTTATTAGTCTTTCCTGATTTATCTTTAACAACTTCATGGAGTAGTTTAACTACATCTGGTTTGTTGGCTAAACTGCAAAACTTCAACCTGTGCTGCTTCATACATATACTGCTTCATACATATAATCTAGAAATGGAGTCATAAAAGGTATCACACTTTCTGTGCATGACTAAAAATTGCAAATTTACCAGCAACCCTCTGTCCTTTGTACCAGTCCCCCACTTAGCCATGGAGATTGGCTGTAGCTTTTCACCACTAGAACCAGTTGATGAATGTAGAGAGGCTGTTGAAGAGTGATGGAATGTTGGGGCTCAGACACAACTGAGTAAACAAACCAGACTAATTATGGCAGAATTTCTCATCTTTTAAGACTGAGTAGCTGCTGCATCTACATACAACCTACTCTGTGGCCGTATGGCGTGTTACAGCTGCAGTCCATAGGACGGGACCGGGCAACACTGCAGTCTTGCTAGTGGTTCTCCTGTGGGAACAGGAAATGGGCAAGAAAAGCTTCCAGATGACCTGAGAAAGTAGGACAGTGTGTGCTACAGAGGTGACAAAAAGCTGTGGGATTAGAGCTGCAGCAGGTTATATTGCAGATGGCAATCCTAAAATTGTTCTACATGAACACTGAAATGCACGCTTGACCACTAGCTAGACCTCATTTCCTCAATTTTTTTTGTCCAGTTTTGTGTATATGCCATAGCAATATTACCAGAACCACTGCATGGGGGACACCCAGATTTTTCACTGCAGCCATAGGGAGCAGGCCTGTGGTGCATGGCTGAAAAGAGGAACGCACGTATTTCAGTGGCGTGCGGTTTGAAACGTCGATGCAAAGGTCAGCCACACACATTCGTAGAGAGTCTGAACTGGTGAAAGACCGAATCACAATGAAACTTTGTGTGGTGGTGTTCTCAAGTCAGCCTGAAGTGTTGCATTGTTCTTGAATGAGTCAAGTACTAACTTGCTGTTATTCACACTGCAAAAATATTTCCTGTCAGTAATGCAGACAGGAGTTCCTTTCTCTTGGCATACCCTGTGGGCATCTGTTCTAAACAATCGCTGTGCATGTTCCCAAAGGCATCTCTAATGAAATAGATGGAGATGAGTCCAAGATCCATCCCAGCTGTGACCTGGTGCACTACATGAATCGTTTTCGTGTCCTGTAGCAGAACTAACCCTGTGGTGACACTGTCTCTTCCTTGCTGGCCCCTCAGGTCAATCGAACATACTGCTGTGGAACCTACAGAGCGGGACCAATGCGGCAGATCAGCCTCGTTGGAGCGGTGGATGAAGAAGTTGGGGACTACTTCCCAGAATTTCTAGATATGTTAGAAGAATCTCCGTTTCTCAGAGTAAGCAGTAACTTGTGTTTTGTTTAGAGCACTATGGATATTTAAAGGATTACTAAATTTCATATATTTCCAAGTAATTAGAAACCACGAAGTATTTTCTCTATCAATGTGCCTGTTTGGACTACTGAGGCACATTCCTGTGTCCAAACAAAAGGTTCCGAGTGAGCTAGTTACAGTTGTGCATATAACTGAAAAATTAAATATAGCTTATCGATATACACTACATAATCATCTCCTTCCCTAAAAAGCAAGTTTGATCAAGTTAGCTTGGGATGTGTTTTACCTCTTTTTTTCTATGCAATTCTTTTGACAGCAGATTTGAACTGGTTTTACCAAAGGCATCATTTAATTTTTCTATCTCACCCAGTGTTTTGTGTTATGTGTGTTTTGTGGGTTGTTTTGGTTTTGTTTTCTTTTAGATGACTTTGCCCTGGGGTACTCTCTCAAGTCTCAGACTCCAGTGTAGGTCACAAAGTGACGATGGTCCCATAATGTGGGTGAGACCAGGAGAGCAGATGATCCCAACAGCTGATATGCCAAAATCGCCGTTCAAACGGCGCCGGTAAGGTTTTGCTTTCGTTTCCTATTAAAGGTAAAACATTGCAGTTACATCTGCGTTTGATTTGAGAACAAAACCGAAATACTTTGTATAACTAGTTCTTCAGAAGGCTCCTTCACAGATTTAAGATTTTAATTTGCTTCAAATTGGTTCAGTGGGTAACACGAATGTTATTTGTGATGGTAATTTTATTTCGCCCCTTTTCATAGTAGTATGTCCTAGATTGATGCATTCTTAAGAGTGAAACCTGTTTTTATTATCCTTCAGGAGACTTGTTTTATTCATCTTCTGGGGAAAGAACTGGTTTGGTGGTGGGGGCAGGTGAAAGGCTCTAAAAAAGCAGAGATCCTTACACTGTCCCTGTCACACTTCAATGTTAGTGCTAAAGCACTTGTAATACTGTCTGCTTTCTCAGGAAATACTGTGGTATAGCGGTGTACTTGCTATCTTTCCCAGAAA